TTGTCTGAAAAAGGTGAAGTCTTGCCTATAAGCAGTAGCGGACGCACGTGGCGGCAAGCGGGTTCAACTGAACCCGATTCGTCAAAAAATAATACTGTGTATATGTATAAATTAGGATTAAAGCTGCGTAAATTTTGTATAAATATTTTATTTGAACCCACTTGACAACTACTATTTTACGACTAAAGTTATGTACTTCTAAGATTGAACCCGCTTGCACAAAATCCTGGGTCCGCCACTGCCTATAAGTGCACCCATGAGGTTCCTGGAACAGTATAGACGATTGGGTGTAGGTTCCTTAACTTTTCATATACCACTTTTACCTGGAATTTTTCCCACCATATTATTTAAAACTACTACATTGTGGAATAGATGGATTCTTGATACAAGAATTGTTCAGAGCAAACTGATCAGAAGGAGGTGTATAAGGATAAAAACTTTGAAGTCGATCTGCTCCTTAGCCCTATTTTGGTCATCTGAGTGCTTCTGGTTGGAAATGCATATGTATTATTTTATAAGCTAAGATATTTTCGTAAAATACAGTGCCAAGGAGGTACCATAAAATACAGAAGGATATCAGCAACTGTACTGTTGGAAATGCATATGTGAGACCTGCAATAATAGAAGCTTCTAAATTTCTTCTGTTTGTGTCCAGTTACCTCCAATGCATATTTTCGGTGTCACTGCTGTGTGTCGTGTGACTCATGTCTGTTTGCTGTATCATTCATTATATACAGGTTGCAGATAGATGAAAAAAATTGTATAATATACTTAAATTAAGCTGCACCTATTGTGGCTGATGAGTAATGGGCTCAGATGTTCTGAACTCACTGATTTAAAATATTGATCTGCCTCTGATAAAATGCTTTAGTATGTCAACATGTTGAGTGTTGTTTCTTTTGCTTATTGATGGTTCTTAAGTTATTGGAATGCGAGGTTTTGGAGTGCTTTGCTTCTTTCTACTAATGTTTTATTTGACCTCCTCCAAGGTGTTTTCCATTATTTAACTATGGTTTCTTAAAAATATATTCTGCATTTGCAGAATGGAATCTGCAACCAAGCATGCGATTGTGGTGAAAGTCATGGGTCGTACTGGATCCAGAGGACAGGTGACTCAGGTGAGAGTCAAGTTTCTTGACGACCAAAACAGGTTTATCATGAGAAATGTCAAGGGACCAGTCAGAGAGGGTGATGTTCTCACTCTGCTGGAGTCTGAGAGGGAGGCCAGGAGATTGCGCTGAGGGCATAATTATGAATGCCACATTGAAATTGCCTTGAGTACTTGTACTGGCTTTGATTTAGTCTTCGGTTTTGTTTGCTCAGACTCATAGTTTTGGACATGATTGTCATGTAATTTGGGCACTTAAAGTATTTGGAATAGTTTATAGTAATATTTTGCATCAATGGTAATAACTTATATTATATGTTTGTGTGTGTGCTAGATTGACATCCATCTATCATGTCAAACCTTTTCTGCGGTTGTTCCATTTCTTTGAATTGGTTCTGTAGAGGCAATGGGTTCTGACTTATATTTGAATTCATACCATGTTTGGTATCTTTTGCTGCTTTTGTTCTTGATAAGAGTGTTAATTGTTTAGTTCATAATGTGATGTTTTATACGTTAATGCCACACAAGAGTAGGTGATTTGTGTGGTGTCCGTGTGCACTAATTATAGAAGGACCTGATTCTTCTAAGTGTTTCTTATATTACTGTTGCGGAAATAGTAAATGCGAAAAATAAAGAACACAAGTATTTTTACGTGAAAAACACCCGGCTTAAAAGGTGAAAAAACTACGACGCTCTTCACTAAATCACTTAGCCAAAACAATATTTACAAAACTCTTTGTAAACCTAAGGATTAATTCTAATCCCGTTGTGATAACCAGCCTTTAACTGTTGCGACAACTTCAAGTTAACTCTAACTTGAATACTGTATTAATACAATTATTTTTAGAAAAAGCTGAAAGGTACAAATTGAAAACACCTACTACAATTGAACTAGAATAAAAGAAAGACGCTTGGAACTGGTTCTTTTATCTGGTTCATGTAGCTTCAGGTTCGCACACTTGAATCACACAAGAATTGCTTGCAAAATGTCTTGCTATTTTGCTCTCAACTCACGTTTAAGTTTAACTTCAGCGTTTGTGCGTACCTGTAGAATGAGAACATCCTTCAATATATAGAGTTAGTAAAATGAGAAATAACTAGAGTTTTAATGCTATTCTTCCTTGGTGGAAGAGTTCTAGCTATCTTCAACTTCTAACTCTTTCCTTATTTTGGATAGAGTTCTCTTCAAGTAAGGAGTCATGTTCCTTATCAAATATACAACATTTTCATTCAGGGATTATCAGAAATAACCACTTATACTTATCTCTTTCACGTGCATGCCTTTTGCTTGATTCTGCTCGTCACCTATGTACACTGTCCATAGACATGGTTCATGCATGTGTTCTTTTGTCAATCATCAAAACCAAAACCGCTCAGGTCAACATAATGCATCCAGCCAATATTCAAACAAGCTGCCTTGAATTATTGACTAACAAAAGCCTTCAATTTTTAGATTTTAGCCGTTGTAGCAGTTCAATAACTATAAGTACTCAATCCAAATCAAAGGCGGATTCATGCAGATTGAGCAATAGTTATTGGATGCATATGCTGCACATCTTTTTGTTAATCTAATTTTTTATATGCCGCACATATTGCATTTATGGTACATTCTCTATATTAGTTTATTTGTTAATCTGTAATTTTGTGTAAGAAACTTGCAGTTGGGGGTTGAAAAGTATAGCAAAACATTTGGTAGTATTTTTCCATTTTGTTGTCTACTTATTTATATTTTGTTAGTGGTTTGTTTTAATAGATTTTCAAGATAGCAACTTTTGAAAAATTGTTCTTCCATATTTAATGATAAAACAAAATCTAAAAGTTCTGTGATTGTCGAGGGTAATCCAGTAACTACATGTAGAAAAAGGGTTAAAACATGAAATTACTTTCATATTCTATGAGGATTGTAGGATTAGATGTAATTCTAGCTTTGCATTATTTTCAGTAATAAAGGGATCTATTAAGGCCATAACTAAATTGGTTGAACTTAGGAGACACATCAACTAAAAGTAGAGTTCAATATTTCCCAACGCAACGCGCGTTTTACTAACATCAATTGCATTGGGGATTATGGGAATTAAATATACAATAGCAAGAACAAATACAACTAAATTTAGTATATTTACCATTAAAGGGTAGCAAGCTTTTACACTTCTCAAATACGATATATTTATTCCTCAAAATTTTGCAACTTGCTTGTCAAATTTTTCAAGATGAACAACAATAACATGAATGTGATTGATATATTCATTTTACTTGTTAGTTTGTAAGTTCATAATATAACTTAATTATACTTTTAGATTCATCCAACATATTCACGTGTGATCATTCAAAATTGATTATTTGTCTAGTTGAATTATCCAAATCCGATTCTGAAGTAAAAATTACATGGGGCGTCCTATTTGGTCGTCCCTTTCTAAGTTATATCCGTTTTATTTTTCCGTTTGCATCCGTACCCAATTTTTTGTTAAAAGTATTTTTAAAAGACGATTTTGCCCTTTTTTAATAAAAGACTATTGACAAAACTGTATACTGCAGGGCAAAACTTCACATGTTCTGGTATGAAATTTTAGCAAATGAACTAAATAACTTCAGTATGCATTAGAAAAAACTAATTACAAAGTTATATACTGCAAGACAAAAACTTAAACATGTTTGGTCTGAACTTTTAGCAAATGAACTAAAAAACTTTAGCTTATTTAGACTAAAATTTTGGATAAAACTCATGACAAAACTGTAGACTGCATGACAAAACTTCAGCATATTTTGGTATGAAAATTTAGCAAATTAACTAAATAACTTCGGTATGCATTAGTAAAAATTCATTAGAAAATTACATACTGCAAGACAAAAATTTAAGCATGTTTAGTTTGAAATTTTAGCAAATGAACTAAAAAATTTAAGCATGTTTAGTCTGAAGTTTTAGCAAATGAACTAAAAAATTTAAGCATGTTTAGTTTGAAATTTTAGCAAATGAACTAAAAAATTTAAGCATGTTTAGTCTGAAGTTTTAGCAAGTGAATTAAAAAACTTAAGCATGTTTAGTTTGAAGTTTTGGCAAATGAACTACAATAATTTCGGCATGCATTAGCAAAAACTCATTAGAAAATTACATACTGCAAGACAAAAACGTAAGCATGTTTAGTCTGAAGTTTTAGCAAGTGAACTAAAAAACTTAAGCATGTTTAGTCTGAAGTTTTAACAAATGAACTAAATAACTTATGCATGTTTAGTATGAAGTTTTAGCAAATGAACTAAATAACTTAAGCATGTTTAGTATGAAGTTTTAGCAAATGAACTAAAAATTTTAAGCATGTTTAGTCTGAAGTTTTAGCAAATGAACTAAATAACTTCAATATGTTTAGACTGAAGTTTCGGATAAAACTCATGACAAAGCTGTACACTGCAGGATAAATAACCTCAGCATGCATTAGCATGAAGTTTTAGCTTCAAGGTGAAACAACTTCATATAAGTGTGATTCTGAAGATGAATCTGGACAAGTTTCTGATTTTTCTGATAAAGCTGCTGAGAAGAGAGAAGGAGATACTTTTTCACGAATGAGGTTGCAGATTACGCGATTAATACGTGATGCAGGTTTTACATCTTTTGTTAGGGGTGTACTTGTCATATTATTACGGATTTTTTGTCAGCTGACTACCAAATTAATAATTTTTAAAAATAGGGTACAAGTTAAAATATGACACAAATATAGGGTACGACAAATTCTCCGATTACGAATGATTAACTCCGAACATGATAGTCTCCTAAAGACGATAGTGAAAATAAAAGCGAAAGGTAATTGACTTGTAGTAATTGGATTTGGGCCCGACGACAAAGTCGGATCCAGGACATAGTAGCAGAAGCCCAATATCTACTGGGCCGAGCTATCGCATTATTGCTTTTGCCCCCTTCCTCGAAACCCTACTATAAAATTTCTAGGGCTCTAAAACACTCCCTTTTCTGATACATCAGCAGCAGACAGCAGCAAAGACTCTTTCTCCGCCGAAGGTGAACAACTCTCTCCTTATTCTCTCTCTTTATATACAAACACAAAAATCATGCGAAATGTGCGTTATTTTAACTATTAGATTTAGTGCCGCAGGTGAAGAATCGGAGCAGAGAAGAAAAAATGGACGCAGGTGTAGTGGCTGCCCCAGTAGATGCAAGCGCAGAGAATAAGGTTCACAGTGATGTTATGCTTTTCAATCGCTGGACCTACGACGATGTCCAGGTACCTTAAAAATGCTCATTTTATTCAGTCACATGTCTATAGCTGCTAATAACTCTTTCCTTTGTACTTTTTTTATTTTATTTGCACAGGGAAAATTACAGTTTATTGCGCCTGTATATTTTAATTTTGAAATTGGAAAAGTAACCTAGATTCAAGCTGAATGTACTTAGTTTTGTGTTTATTATTATATGTGGAAAATTGCTGCTTATAGAGCTTTAGTATCTAAATTTTGATATTTGAAAAAAAACTAATCTGGTTGATGTATCTTGATAATTTGTTAAATTGACTTTCCATAAGCAGAAAACTGATTTTACAACTTATAGGGCCTGTATAAAAAAAGCAGCAGTAAGATAGTAATATGCCAGATGAAAATGCAGCAAGTTGAATTCCAAGCAAGTTGGACTGGCAATACGAATCCTCACTATCTACATTGCTCCATTAAGCACTTGATGTTTTCCACATTTATACCAAGTATATATATCTCTAACAGGACCAAGAGACTCCTAAGGATTATTGGACTTATAGTGAACTTACTAACTTTACTAAAACTTTACTTTAGCAAATTGGTATCATCTATATACATCTTTTCTTTCGCTGCCATATTTTTCACTAGTTTGCATTGAATCCAGGTTATTGTAGGACTTTTGAGACTACTTACTTCTATGTGAATTTAGGTTTGCATGTCCCCCTTTAGAATGTTTGACTCCTATAGGCTGGTGTCAGATAGCCAAATAAGCTAATTCGGTGGGGAGTGGGATTAGGAGGGCAAAAATTATGGGCTTTATTTTTAGTTGGTTATTCCCTGAAATAGAAGAAGGAGAAGTAAGTAGGTGTTGCTACTCAGTATAAGTGTAATTCTTACTCAATAACATCCCGGAAGTGGAGAACGTTGTGTTAGAATTGTAAATGAANGGTTTACATGCCGCACACAGCTGGCAGATACCAGGCTAAGCGTTTCAGGAAGGCCCAGTGCCCAATTGTTGAGAGACTCACCAACTCTCTGATGATGCATGGACGGAACAACGGAAAGAAGCTAATGGCTGTCCGTATCATCAAGCATGCAATGGAGATCATCCATTTGTTGACTGACCAGAACCCAATTCAAGTCATTGTTGATGCCGTCATTAATAGGTGCACCCACGCAGATGATCGGCTTTTAATTCATTCATATATTCTTCAATCTTTTATTTTGTTTTATTTTAAATGGGGGTAACAATGGGCCCATTTCTGCATCAAATGCTTCCGTATTTGCAAATACTGAACTTTGACTATCCAAAGTGCTGGTGGATCATTTGAAATACTAGTTTGAGGAGTTTCTCAAATAAAATAATGATTTTACTCACAAATCTTCAACTTTTTAAACATCTTTTCCAGGTGTAGTTCATGTCTAAACACAACTTCAGCTTTCAAATACTCTTTTCCAACTTCAACTTCAGATCCTTTTTTTCAACTTCAACTAAATATTGTTCAAATACCCTACTATTATATCTGTCTCACTGATAGCTTTGTCTTCTCCATTTGATCATATTAGTGGGCCAAGGGAAGATGCAACTCGTATTGGTTCAGCTGGTGTTGTGAGGCGTCAGGCTGTTGATATTTCTCCACTTCGCCGTGTTAACCAGGCGATTTATTTGCTGACAACTGGTGCACGTGAGAGTGCTTTCAGGAACATCAAGACAATAGCTGAGTGCCTTGCAGATGAACTCATCAATGCTGCCAAGGGTTCTTCAAATAGGTAAAATGCTTGAGATTTTGAGTGTTCTCTGATCTTAGAAAATTATAGATATATTCCAAACGTACTGCTTCGTTGTAAAATTGTATACTTGTTGGCGAACCTTTTTTTTTTTTTTTTTTCCAAATCGATTTTTTTGGATATGTGCGACTTTATTGCTTACTGCTGTTGATGATTTTTGTTTCTGCAGCTATGCCATTAAGAAGAAGGATGAGATTGAAAGAGTTGCTAAGGCCAACCGTTGAGAGGTCAATGGATCAGTATTTACTATACAGTTTTGGGTTATGCTGTTTTCTCATTTCTGTTTTCGTTTAGCACTATAGCCTGTCATGGAAATGAAAGTGGATTGGAGTAGCACCACAGCTGTTGCATGTGGATTTTAATTTCTTAAGAGTATTTTGCTTGTTGAAACTTGATAAGCTTGGAATTGTTATAGATGTCAAAATTTGAATTCCTTGGGGATCTCATTAGCATTATCTGCTATTCCTTGTCGATTTTAATTTCTCAGTGATTCTCTTCTTTTAAGTAAACAGTGAAGACATGTCCAGTAGCTTGTGCATTTTAATGTGGTGATAATTATCCTCAATAACCTTTTGGTTATATCTGAAGCATATGTGTGCTATTGTTGTATGGATGCTCTTAGATATTCTCATTGGTCCGTATATTTATGTATGGTTGAGCAAATGGATTATAGGAAATTAAGGATAATTTTAGGGACTTCAATTTTGCTTCATAACAGTACTTTACCTTTTTATGATATTACATTATCTTTTTTGTTTTGATTTTTTTTGTAACAGTACTTTTAATCTCCTTATTATTAATGTTGAAAAATTATAGTTTGACTAATTACCCTCTCCTTGTTTTAAATTCTTTTAATTAATTATATAAATACCTTATTTAACATCTTTAAGAAACTAGTCCTATAGGGCAAAGTGAGCATCTTTTTAATTTTAAACAAATTTTGTATACTTGGGCTTGAAACTATCAAGAACTTTTATTACGTGACTAACTTATAAGTGACTTGATTGAGTAAAATAATTTCTGTGATAATGCATAAAACTCAAACTATAATTAGATCATATCATCAATTTCCACTCTTCGCATTCGTTTTCATCACTCAACTAGAAGCCTTGGCTGGTTTTTGACATATACTTCTTTCTTTGGTGCATGCATGGACTGGCTTAAACACTGGATAACTAACATATACAGTGTCAGGTCTAGTAATTTGTCACGTACAACAACTTGCCAATCAACCTCTGAAAACAGGTTCGAATCTCCAGTAGTGTATCGCTAACATCTGTCTTAACACATCAAATTCTGTACTAGGTAGCTTTAGATTCTGTTCCATTGGAGTTTCCTTAAGCATTGATCCAGCGACACTCTGCCTCGGAGATCATTTCTAAAGCATATTTTCTTCGGGACATAAGGATGCCTTATCATGATTTGGCAAATTCTATCCCTAGAACATATCCTAGTTCTCTAAGATCCTTAAGTTTGAATTTTTAATGCAATGCTGCCTTAGATGTCTGAATTTCTTGTAAATCATGGCAAGTAAATCATCTACATAGACAGATATAAGAACAAACTTGTCGTTGTTGAGAACCAGACTTCAACAAGACTTGTGTGAACTTCAAATTCCATTGCCTAGAGTAGTTTACATACCCTATGCTCCCCCTGACAACCAAATTCTTGAGGTAAAGTCATGTAGACTTCCTCAAAGGGATCACCATTCAAAAAAGCATTATGCACATCTATTTGGTAAATAAGCCAGTGTCTAAGAGCAGCAATGGTTATAACAGTTCTCACAATAGTCATCTTACCTACAGGATAAAGAGTGTCATGGATAAATCTATGCCCTCTTGTTGAGTGTAGCCCTTTGCAACTAATCTAGTTTTGAGTCTTTTAACTGTATCATCAACATTGTATTTAATTTTGTACATCCATTTGCACCCTACACCCTACAGGCACCTTGCCAGGAGGCAAATCAACCATATCACAAGTGGAGTTTTGTTCTAGGGCTTTAATCTCAAGCTTCGTTGTCTTGACCCATCTGTCATCTTTGATAGTTTGGGAATAAGAAGTTGGTTCAGTATTTAAAGAAAAAGAAGCCAAAAAGGACCAAAAATATAAAGAAAGACGAGAATAAAAGACAAACTAGTGTATGAGATAAGGAGAGGAATAAGAGGTAGAAGGTAAATGTGGGTGGACATAATCAGTTAACCAAATAGAACACTTGGTAACCCTGCCAAACTCTTTAAGTTGTACAGAATTTATGGACTAGATAGCTACAGTATCTGTGTAATATTAGGAGAAGAAGAGGGTAAGACAACATAACTAGGTAAAAAGGAAGAAAAAGAATCAGGAAGAATAGAGTCATGGAAAGTGGAAGGAAGTTCTGGCGAGTCAGAAGAAGAAGCAGTAAGCTCTGTTGATTCATGAGAAGAATCAGACATACTAGGTGGCTCAGGAATAGTATTATCAATTACTATCTCAGTGGTAGGGAACAAGTCTGAGTCAGACTGAGCAGGATTATAGTAAAAAATAACAACAAATCTGTGTTTAGGATACTTAAAGAAAATATCCCTTCTTTGAACACAACATCCCTGCTAACTATAAACTTATTAGCAACAATGTCAGACATCTTGTATCCCTTCTGTGTAGGTGCATATCCCATGAAAATAGTACAAACAGATTTAGGGGTGAACTTATCATGGAAATCATAGCAGAGACATCCCATAATTCTCATGTGGTCAAAAGAAGGTGGCTTGCAATGGAACATCTCATAAGGAGACTTTCCATGTAAAGTAAAGCTGGGTAATCTGTTAACAGGTTGCTGCAAGGATACAATCACCCTAAAATTTTAGTGGTACGTTGGCTTGAAATCTTAGGGCTCTTTCTAGTTCAAGGAGGTACCTGTGCTTTCTCTTTATAACTCTATTTTATTGTGGAGTATGAAATTAAAACACCTGCTTTTGGAGTTTGAAAAGGTTAAAACAAAGGGTGTTAAAAATTCATATCTATTGTCTGATCTGAAGGATTTAACAGTGGTAGAAAAATGATTTTCCACAAGGTGAAGAAAATCTTTCAGGGTAGCATACACATCATTTTTCAATTTCAAAAGCAAGTTAATATCATTTTGGTATAGTCATTAACAAGAGTAAAAAAAAAATATTTGAAACCATTATAAGTACATACTCTGTAGGGGCCCCAAACATCTATATGTACAATCTCAAATGAACATGTAGACTTAGAAGTACTAACAGAAAATGATAATCTAGTTTACTTGGCTAATGGACAACCATGATAGTTACAAGTAGATACACTAGACAAATATTTATTTATTTTAGGAATCTTCTGTAAAAATGACACAAGGGCTTAGCCTAGTCTTTAATGCCACAATATATTTGTGCTTGCTTGAACTGAAGTAGACATGCATTTAGAAGGAGGAACAATAGCAGGTGTTGAAAAATTGAAAATATAGAGATCACTCTTGAGCCTACCAATCTCCTTTACCATGCCACTGGAGAGGTCCTGAAAGATACAAAAATCATGATAAAAATAGACTAGACTATTTAATTCCTGTGTATACTTAGACATAAAGGATAGATTATATAGGAATTCAGGAACATATAGTACATTAAAGAGTTTCTGAGTTGAACAAGGTACAAGATCCAGTGCGAGTGATTTTAGTGCTATTACCATTAGGCAAATGCACAGATGTAGATTTAGGCTCATGCACTGGATTAAAGCTTGACAGAAGGTTCAAGGATGAAGCCATATGATTAGAAGCACAAAAATTAATAATCTAACAGCTTTGTTCAATGAGTGATTAACCTTCCATACTGGCCCCATTTGCAGGTTGCTTCTCCTTGCTTAGCATCTTGATAATCTGTTAATACTGCTTTATAGTGAAAGTCTGAACAATTGTGACTGTATTTGGAATAACATTTGCATTATCTGCATTCTAAAATTCGACTCCAACATTTGCATTGCGTGCCATAGCTCCAGGTTGTCCTGTGCTTATTGTCACGACTCAATTCCCGCCTTAGGCCGTGATGGCGCCCAACATCGTCGTTAGGAAATCCAATGGTGAACCATCAATTTAATTATCTATTAACTGCAGAAAACCATAAAGATATAAAGTGTTAATAAAATATGAAACAAAATGATGATAATATCACGTACAACCATAGTCATTTACTAGAAACTTCTCAAAATTCGCTGTCACAAGTGCATGAGCAATCTAGTAGAATATACGAACCACTATAGCTACTGTCTGAAATGAAAATATAACAAGAAGGAGACTCCAGATGCTGCAGATCGGAGCATGGAGAACAACTCACCACTAAGTCTTTGAATAACGTGTATGCGCGCCCGAATGGCCACCAGATGTACCCATCTCACTACCTGCACAATTAATGCAGAAGTGTAGCATGAGTACGTAAAACAATGCGCACCCAATAAGTATCTAGTCTAACCTCGAAAAAGTAGTGACGATGGGTCGACATTGACACTTACTAGTGGTCAATAAATAAAGTACATGAATTATAAATAGGCATGAAGCACAACAGTAATAATGGAGTACGAAAGACTGTAAGTAACACGATCCCCAACATAATGGCAGTATAAAATCCCCAAATATCATGTAATATCTCAAACAAATAAGAACTATCAAGTAAATATCAAATCTCAAGTCAAGAAGGAAATATCATGTATATTCTGATTCCTATTGATATTACACACGAATTATGCCGAGGTTGTACGACCCGATATCTAATAATCGTGTACACTGTCGAGGTCGTACGACTTCCATGGATAGATCTCAAATATACTGTCAAGGTCATACAACCCGATCCAAAATACTATTTTATAGCACAACCAGGGCGTACGACCCGATCCACAGGAATAGAGAAACTTTTCGAACTACGGGTCAAACAATTACAACACAAGGATGGGCACATAAATAACGCATGATTTTTACCAACAATCAAGTATTCCGCCAAAAACTCAAAGTAATGAAGCTCAGACTAACATAATCCCTAATCAAATTTTAATTATAAATTTAAGTAATTAGACTAACAAGTAGAGCTTAAATAATACAAATATTGCATGATAAAGTCCTAAGTCTACCCGGACATAAATATGATTTTAGCTACATACGGAATCTTGTCACCTCGTGCGTATGTAGCACCCGCAACTAGTAGCAACTAACAATTTAAGCACCCACGGGGATAATTCCCTCTTACAAGATTAGGCAAGAGACTTACCTTACCTCCAAGCCCTCTACTCGTCTCACAAACCACACTAGTCACCTCAAAACAACGCCGAGCAACTTGAAACTAGTCAAAAGTCATACAAACTAATCAGTATATACTCAAAAGTTCATAATTCATCTATTAGAGTAATTTCCCAACCTAATTCGAAAAGTCCATAAAAGTCACCCTAAGGCCCACATGCCCGGATTCCAAAATGTTTTGTAGATAAACGTTATTCATGACCT